GCCAGACACTGAGGTATTCTATTGGAAAACCCCTGTACTACATTCTGAAACGTGTCAGCTGGTATTTCTTTTTTTTTCGAATAAGAGTATTCAGTTCTTCTTTTGGGGATGGCTCCACAAGAAAAAATCCAACGGATTTAGATGCGGATTTTAGTATTGGAAATGCTTATGTTTTGTGTATGGGTATGAAGTTACCAGTTTCGTCAAGCAGAAAAGAAGACAGTGGTGTAGCGTCAAGTGTTGCTTGTACCGTACTCGGCCGCAATCGGTAGATTAAAGAAACGTTGCGGATACTGTCGATACGGTACTTACTTAGTAGTGCGCAATTGTTTTTTTTTTTTTTTTTTATTTATTGGGCGTGTTTAACTGCTTTGGTCATTACGCCTTTAAATTGGTATTATTTTACATTTTACATAGTGCTACATAAATGGAGTTACAGAGGGTTAATTAAATTATTCTATGGAGGTTTGACATTTTTAGGAAGTTTACTAAATTATACACCTTTTCTTCACAGTCCTGTAGGATATCCTTTAGAGTACCTTGTATCCCTGATCTTTCACGATAGTCCTTATAGACGTTACATGATGTTAAAATATGTTCAATCGAGATTGGGACATTGCAAGTTTGACAAATTGGCCGCTCTTCTCTCCTCAACAGATAGCCGTGGGTGAGGGCCGTGTGACCAGTTCTTATCCTAGTAAGGAGGATTTCCAATCTACGGTGTTGTTGGTTTGACGTTTTCCATTCCAATGCTGACTCCTTCACTTGTCGAAGTTTGTTGCTAGTCAGTGACAACCACCTTAGTCTTGTCTCTTCCCAGAGAAGTTGTTGGGCGAAGTAACACAAATCTTCCTTTGATGATACATTGTATCGAAAACCTTGTTCATGTGCACGGTTCGCTGCTCTATCCACTAACTCATTACCTTTAATTCCTATGTGTGATGGGACCCACATTAGAGATATTTTAGCGTTCTTAGATTTTATTAGGTGTACTAACGAATTTTGGATTGAGGTGATCAGAGATGTTTTATTGTTGATGTTATCTATGGCTTTCAGTATGCTTATTGAGTCTGACAGGATTAGATATTTTTGCATTGTGTCTAGATTTTCGGCGATGTGGTTAATTGCAAGTTTTATGGCAATGGCTTCTGCAGAAAAAATCGAGCTCATTCGGGGAAGTTTATATTCATAGGTTTGTTGATCGATGTAATACGCACATGATGTTGAGTTATCCTTTTTGGATCCGTCGGTGTAAATTGTCAAATAATTTCTGTATTTGTGGCACATTTGTTCCCGGAATAGTTGAACGTGTTCACTGTTTAGAACACTGTTTTTTTTATTATTGTTTAATGTAAAGTCTACAATAATTAGTTTTTCTTGCCAAGGAGGAGGGTTTTGAGTGGAAAGCGGAATAATTTGTTCTAGGAGATAGGTAGGAAACTTCAATGTTGACATTATGCAATTTGCTGTTAAATGGACAGGATATGGAAGATTTTCTTTATTTGAGTAGAGTTTGTCATAAAATTTTGAAGTAGTTTTTGAGAATATTATTTCTTTTCTACGTTCATAACTTTTTATGAGGAATTTTATAACCAATGTTTTCCTGCGTTCTTCAAGATTTAGGATTCCAGCATCATTGTGAAGGCTTATTATAGGTGTGGTGCGAAACGCACCTGTGATAATACGCAACGCATTATTTTGGATCACATTAATAGTTTTTAGAACGTTTGGTGTTGCTGAGTTATACAGGGTGTTACACGACCGTTCGAAAAAAAAAATCGGGTTGTAGAGGGCATCAAAACAAGCACTTTTTCCAAATAAACCGAGGGTCCAACGTGTTTCGTTTGGGAGCCACCCCCCAAAGAGTGTTGAAATCTGCATTTCTTCTTTAATTTTTTTCTCAGCAACCATAAGAGTTACAAAGTCGGGTGGCATGTCTTTGAATAGGTTTTTGGGTATGCTCTTTCCGATTTTGCAATTTTTTTTTCAAAATTCCTACCCCTAAAGGGCGCACCCCTAAACTAGGGTGCAAAAAAAAATTCTGATTTCGACGAAATTTGGTATCTGGGGTTTTTTAACATGAAAATCACGAATCTGAAATTAGTTTTTGAAAATTCGAAAAAAAAAGTTCCACTGCAATTCTTGGCGGGACAACGAAAATAGAGATAATTCCACGAAATTTGTTGTGTACATACTAAACGAGTTAAGGAACAAAACTGTCGAACAGTTTTTTAAAATAACTTTTCAAACAAAAGTTATACTCATTTGAATGTTGGTCCTTCGGGTCGCGAAGTGTCCCAAGCCTACTAGTAAGCCATAATTTCGCATGTGTTGGTTGACAATGTCGCAAAAACAAAAGATTAACGGTTTGAGTCGATATTTTGTTATTTGGAATTAATTCGGTCATTAAATGATTAAAAAATTCGATGTATCGATTAAAACACCTACCAAGGTATCTTAAAGCGCTGATCGATTATTTATTATCTAAATAAGGTAGGGGAAAAAGTCAAATCACTTTCCGTATGATACTTTTTCACTATGATCAAAAATTTTCATAACTTAGGTTGAAAAATAACTTCCAAAAGAACAAAAAAAAGATAATAAACAATCGATCAGCGCTTTAAGATACCTTGGTAGGTGTTTTAATCGATACATCGAATTTTTTAATCATTTAATGACCGAATTAATTCCAAATAACAAAATATCGACTCAAACCGTTAATCTTTTGTTTTTGCGACATTGTCAACCAACACATGCGAAATTATGGCTTACTAGTAGGCTTGGGACACTTCGCGACCCGAAGGACCAACATTCAAATGAGTATAACTTTTGTTTGAAAAGTTATTTTAAAAAACTGTTCGACAGTTTTGTTCCTTAACTCGTTTAGTATGTACACAACAAATTTCGTGGAATTATCTCTATTTTCGTTGTCCCGCCAAGAATTGCAGTGGAACTTTTTTTTTCGAATTTTCAAAAACTAATTTCAGATTCGTGATTTTCATGTTAAAAAACCCCCAGATACCAAATTTCGTCGAAATCAGAATTTTTTTTTGCACCCTAGTTTAGGGGTGCGCCCTTTAGGGGTAGGAATTTTGAAAAAAAAATTGCAAAATCGGAAAGAGCATACCCAAAAACCTATTCAAAGACATGCCACCCGACTTTGTAACTCTTATGGTTGCTGAGAAAAAAATTAAAGAAGAAATGCAGATTTCAACACTCTTTGGGGGGTGGCTCCCAAACGAAACACGTTGGACCCTCGGTTTATTTGGAAAAAGTGCTTGTTTTGATGCCCTCTACAACCCGATTTTTTTTTTCGAACGGTCGTGTAACACCCTGTATATTATGGATCCGTAATCTAGTCGACTTCTGATGATTGCATTATATAAATATGTCAGCATAGAGCGATTTGGTCCTTTGTTGCTGTTGTTTATAACTTTCAGGATGTTCATGTTCTTCATGCATTTCTCTTTCAGGTTATGCAAGTGTAGCTTCCATGTCAATTTATCGTCAAACAATAGTCCTAAAAATTTGTGTGATTTCACCTGAGCAATTGGGGTATCTCCAATTTTAATGCAATTGTTTTGTTAATTTCAAATTTAAAATTCTAGCACATTTCTCGTGATAGTAGTACAAACATATTACAACGCTTATTATTCAGAAAGGTTACGCGAGCGAGTGGAGCAGGTGATAGCGAGTGAATAAGGGTTTTTTGTGTTTTACATATGACGTTGTCCGGTTATTATTTCCAATGTCTCCGATGGTTGCATGGATTGCGAAATCTGTGAATTTTTTTACATGGACGTAAAAAGAAAACAAAGCATTATCTAACATTGCCAAAAAAATATACGTTGTCATTTAAAATTTTTTTCGATGACATCACATCACATCTGAAACTATTACCTTACACTATGCTATTACGTAAAAAAAATTGAAAACTGTGAGATTGTGGCAAATATTTAATATATTAGTTGGGGGTGGCTCCCAAACGAAACACGTTGGACCCTCAATTTATTTGGAAAAAGTGCTTGTCTTGATCCCCTCTATCACTTAATTTTTTTTTAGATACGGTCATGTAATACCCTGTATAAATAATTGTTTGCGTACCAATGGTAAATTGCTTCTCTCCTAGAAATGGATATGTCGTATTGCCTTATTATCTGCATTAAATGGCACCTGCCATTACAGGATTGTACCTACTTGTAGAGGTTTCTGCAACCCGGGTCCCTTGTGAGAGTAACGGCATGACCTCCTATCCATCTCAACCGGTTTCAACAGTATGCATAAGGTGTCACCTGACAATTTGACAAACACTCCAATTGGTAAAGATATAGGGTGTATATGTACATACATAAAACAATCAGAGCGGCATCGCCTTGCGGAACTGCGCTCAAATTTTGTACTTGACCTCCTGGGTCAACTTATAAGCAAGGTAAAACGTAAAAGTCCATAAACAAAACATCATTTTTGTATGTCATTTCATGAATTATCTACTACATAATACAAGTCAAGTGAAACGGGTACAACTTTGCGCAAATATAGCGATGATTACTGTCATGGTCGCCCGCTTTGCTTGCAATTAACCTAAACAATACAAAATAAGAGCACGAAACGATTAATCATGAAAGTTTGTGGAATTTTTTGTGAACTTGACTCAAAAAATTAATTTTGTGTTTAAAAATATATGTATTGTATGTACACCATCTTTACTGCATGCAAAGATCATGTGATGCCATTGGCAAAATGTGAAAGGTAATAAACAACCCTGTTTCATAAGAACTTCAAAGTAACGCTGGCAATGGTACAAAAAAAAGGTAGAGCTTTACGTCGAAAGATAATTAATTAGATATCAATTGAGAATTAAAAAAGAGTAGGTACAGATGAAAGTACAACGTACCAATGGACAGTTGCAGTAACTACGTGCGTTCAATTAGATTTTTTCTTCTTCAATAAATTATTTACTATTATCTCATACGTCAATGTTACCGTAAACTAGTTTATCAAGACTGTTGAGGTTGTAAAAAATTATTCTTACGTATTTACAAGGTCTCCCTATTTATACTACTCCACTTTGCTGCGGGACCTAATTGTAATATATTTGCAGAAGAGTAAGTACAAATCGGTGTGAAACAGTGACATTTTGGATTACAACTTTATACGGTAACGTTCACCTACTCCGATTTCTTTATTGTTCGCATCAATGTTAAAGTACCTTTTTTTGGTCCTTTTTGAAAATGTACTCTTAATCTGGAACAATCAATATTCATTTTTACAGAAAATTAACCATGCTGGAATTAAGCGGAAAGCAAAGACTTACATCGAACACCGATATTTCGGCAACAAACATTTTCTACTTCCTTTTAATACCGGCGATAATTCTATGGTACGTCTACTGGCGCCTTTCCAGGCGACATATGATTAAATTGGCCAGCAAAATTCCCGGTCCCAAAGGTTACCCGGTAATAGGCAACCTCTTGGACTTCGCCGGATCATCTTGCGGTAAATCTGAGATGCCACCGATGCGTCGTTTCATCTAAATACTTTCAGACATTTTCAAAGCTGTATACGCCTATTCATTCAAATTTGATATCGCTCGCACCTGGATCGGACCCAAACTTCTAGTTTTCTTAACGGATCCAAGGGACGTCGAAGTAATTTTAAGCAGTCACGTTCACATAGATAAGGCGAGTGAATATCGATTCTTCCGACCCTGGCTGGGAAATGGCCTTTTGATAAGCACAGGTAGCTTGAGTTCCTTAAACCGGCTCTACTGACGTATTTGAGGTAGGTTCCGTTTGGAAGAGTCACAGGAAGTTAATCGCCCCGACTTTTCATCTGAACGTCCTGAAGGGGTTCATAGATCTTTTCAATGCGAACAGTAGGGCAACGGTGGAGAAGCTGCGTAAAGAGTACGGTAAGACCTTTGATTGCCACGATTACATGTCGGAAGCTACCGTCGAAATTCTGCTCGGTAAGTTGGAACTATTGCAATTAAATGCTTTATAGTATCCAATCCGTTAGAGACCGCAATGGGAGTCTCCAAAAATACGCAGGATCAAAGCGGATACGATTACGCAATGGCCGTTATGAAAATGTGTGACATTCTGCACCTAAGACACACGAAACTTTGGTTACGACCGGATTGGTTATTCAACTTAAGCAAATACGGAAAAATTCAAGAAACGTTACTAAACACCATACATAGCTTGACCAGGAAGGTGCTAAAAAGTAAAAAAGAAGCGTTTGTTAACGGCGTTCGCGGATCCATAGCTGAAGTACCTCAAGAAGCTATCACCAGCGAGAGTGTCGAACCAGAATCCAAGAAACCTGAACAGCATCAGGAGGGGGGTGTAATATTTGGACAGTCTGTGGGTATTAAGGATGATTTGGACGTCGATGATAATGACGTGGGGGAAAAGAAGAGGATGGCCTTTCTGGATTTAATGCTCGAAGCATCGCGTAACGGATTCATAATAACGGACGAGGAAATAAAGCAGCAAGTTGACACAATAATGTTCGAAGGCCACGACACGACAGCTGCAGCAAGTAGCTTCTTCCTATGCCTAATGGGTACTCATCCAGAGATACAGGCACGAGTACATAAAGAAATGGACACGATCTTTGGAAACTCCGATCGGCCGGCGACCTTTGCGGATACGTTGGAAATGAAATATCTCGAAAGGTGTTTGCTTGAAGCACTCCGATTATACCCACCCGTGCCAATTATCGCTCGCAAACTTAATCAAGACGTCAAATTAGGTATAATTACTGCCAATAGCTAAATTATTTCAAATTAAAATCACACTTGTAGTTTCTGGTGATTACACACTACCTGCCGGATGTACACTTGTTATCGGTACATTTAAGGTACATCGCCGTGCAGATATCTACCCAAATCCGGACGTGTATGATCCCGATAACTTCCTACCGGAACGTTCGGCTAATAGGCATTACTACTCATTTATTCCATTTAGTGCAGGACCGCGTAGTTGCGTAGGTAAGTTAAATATCGCGATTCGCAGGTCTCAATAACTGGACACCTATACTATTTTAGGACGTAAATACGCGATGCTAAAACTTAAGGTCCTGCTATCGACAATTATGAGAAACTTTGTCGTTAAATCAGATATACCAGAATCTGAATTCAAATTGCAGGCAGACATCATTTTAAAAAGAGGAGATGGGTTTAAAGTCAGACTGGAACCGAGAAAAACCAAACAGTGATAGGAAAATTAGGCACCGTTGGAGATCATCAGTGGAGTCAAGCACCGTAGAATCAAAACTGTGTTGATTGTAGTTGGTGCTAGTGTCAATCATGCTGTTTGTTGTGTATTTTCTTGACCTAATAGTTTTTTTTTTATGTTGAAGGTAAATCGTGTTTGGTACCATTGTATAATAATTACATTGTAAAACGGATGACCTGCAACGGGAGATTTATGGTTTTTACATTATGTCGTGTTGTTATGAGGATAATAAACTATTTATTGGTTTCATGTTTTAAAACTAAGCTAGATTTAAAAGATTCCAAGAGGCAACAATGTATATTCAAATGGCTTCTAGTCCTAATATGACGATTCTTGAATAAGTGCAGTTTAAGACCACATGAACAAAACCGGGGAGCAACCATGGTTGGGCTCTTTGCAAGACGCGGTATGCCATTTTCCCTCCTTCAAATTAGGCACTATCCGTTAGAGTTAAAGGACCACATGGGTATGTGCCTAATTTTAATTTGATTTTGGTAGCCGAAGCACCTTTAAAGGTGATTCCTTCCAATTTAGGTTTGAAGTCAAATTTCAGTAGGGTTGAGCCATTGAATAAGCACCTATTCAATGGTTGAGCAGTATTTTGAAATTAGGTTTCGTAAAATTGGAAAGGAAGTATCATTTTTTGGCGAGTTTCTTTAAATATTTTCGGGCTGAATTACGACCGCGTAATTTTTCATAACGACCGCTTTAGGCCAATGGTAATATCGAGTAGGTTTACAATTAGATCAGAATGTATGACATGGCGCTAGCCAGGCAGGTTGCGAAGTTATTGATACCAATAAACGTTTCGGTTTTTGTTGCAGGCGCAGTTCCAGATAGGAATAGTAGGCTTTGAATGCCTAGTTTAGGTAACAAACAAATTTCGTTGGTTCCATTTCGTATATTGTAACGAGCGTTTTTGGGAAATGAAAAAAGAGAGAAGACGAGTAGCAGTTCAAGCACAAAGGTTCTAAAGCGTTCTTAAGAAATTTGGACGCAAAAAAGTTAAGCGTTTTCTTTTACAAACAAAAGAAAATCGTTCCAAGCGCACCATGATAAATTTCGTATCGGGCCGTACACGAAGTTAAATCAGATTTTTAAAAACGATTAACCATTCATTCGGAAGGAAAAAGTTTACCGTTTCTTCTGTGAAGAAGGAACCTAATGGAGATACCATTTTACGGTTCTATCTGTGTTCTTATCAATCATCACGAACTAAAGTATTTGTGCTTGACGTGGGAGGGAAAGGTGGAGGGGGAGGCTTCAATTATCTCTTCTTCTGCTTATCTGTTAAACATTGTGTAACAATCGACTTTAACTTGAATATCGGCCTGCACTCTTTCCTGCACCCTTTTTGCGTTCAGTTATTTGTAACCAATGCTAAAACAGAGCCATGCCTAACTAGTGTTCTTTAAATACATACTGGAACTGGAGCCCGCTAAATTGTATTTAAATGTTTTCGGCGTTAGGGGAGGAGTTTAATATACTACTGTGTAAGTATACCGCCAGGTGTGCCAGACGGTCATTAAATTGCTCCTCAAGGCCCCCCATGAACTTAAAAGTAAATTGTGCATAACTTTTACATGCGACAACCATGCGACTCCTTTTCTAGATCGGTGGGGATGCAGGGAGAGAGTAGAAATTAATTTTATCTTTCATGGTATTCTAGTTAAAGGTCTCAGCAAAAGGAACTGTTTTCTACCAACTATCGCCCTTCTTTCTGACTCTTTATCAAAAGAGGGGGTACTCTAATGAACGGCCTCAACGAAAGGAATTAATTTCTACCAACCATAGTCCTTCTCCTCGACCCATTATCGTGATCGGATATAAATAATTCCTTATATCTCAACAGAAGAACAGATTGTCGGAGGAGGGTACTCTCAAAGGGTAGAAAGAACGTCTAGACCAGACACATCTATCGGCCGGCGTTGTAAAAACTGAATTGTGAATATCTCGAAAATGTTGGGGGAAAGTACCTACAAAGGGAAAATACAATGTTTCAGAGAATTTCTCTAACAGCTTCGTTCTTCTTGCATTATAGCGTAAATTTTGAATGTATGCCAAGCGACTTTTAAATGTTATAAATCATTTACCAAGAATGAAAAGTCGATAAAAATTTAATATAGCATGCTACTACTTTTTAACGCAACCATTTACTAAGCTATTTCGGTTAAAAAATGTGCTTTATCTGCACAAGAGTTGTGCACAATTTATACTTGTTTATTAACGTTAGATGTGGTAATGGGTTTGGATTTAACGCACTTCCAAACATGTCATTCGGAATCATTTTGTATTGTATCAGAATTATTTGATGTTTAATTTTATTTAAATTATTGCCTTGTATATTGTTTATTTAATTATACATCTAAAACACGTGTAAAAGACCGACCTTATTCGTCCGGAAATTCTGCGGGTAGTATTTGTAAAAGTTTATCTCATGTTCATTTCTGGTCGTAGATAAGAAGCTTTCTTATCGCTGCGTGCACTAATTAAATTCCAAGATAACGGTGTGTTATCACCGAGTTAAGCAGATGTTTTGTACCAAAAGTAAATACAGTCAATAACTTCCTAGAAGCGCCTTTCCAAATGGAATTGCCTATTAAAAATTTCACACCGCTGGAAGTTGAAAGAGCTATTCAAACCGAATTAAAGACAAAAAAGCACCAGGGTGGGACTTAATCACTGGCAAAGTATTACAAGAAATAACCCCTAAGTGCATGCGAGTTATAACATAAGTCTCTTACCGGTGCTATCCACGCTGTTTGAAAGACTACTACTAAAACGACTAAAGCCAATATTGGATGAAAAAGAACTTATACCCAACCACCAGTTTGGATTTAGAAGCCAGCACAGTACCACAGAATAGGTACATAGTCGACAAAATAAACAACGACCTGGAATCCAACAAATATTGCTCGGCGGTGTTCCTTGACGTCAAACAGGCGTTTGACAAGGTATGGCATAAAAGGCCTATACTATAAACTAAAAAAAGGACAACCGTACCATTTCTATGAAATTATTCAATTTGAATGCAGATGGTTCCTGGTGAAGCAGGGAGAGAAATTATCAGATTTGTATCCTATTTCTTCCTGAGTACCTCAAGGCAGTGTTCTGGGGCCAGTACGTTATACACTCTACACAGCTGACATACCCACCACCAACCTAACAACTACAGCTACTTTTGCCGATGATACGGCCATACTAGCATCAGATACCAACCCGGATATGATATTGCATCTGCGAACCTGCAGAATAGCCTGAATTAATCGAGGACTGGATGAGGAGATCTAAAATCCAAGTTAACAATTTCAAGTCTACACACATCACGTTTACCATGAGAAGAGGAACATGTGCAGCTGTAACATTTAATGGCACCTTAAATATCTGGGTATGCATTTAGATCGACGGCTCACATGGCGTAAACATATATTCACGAAAAGGAAGCAACTCGGAATAAACTTAGTCAAATGTACTGGCTACTTGGCAGAAACTCGCAAATGAAAATGGAAAATAAGCTTCTACTATACAACACTATTATTAAACCCATATGGACGTACGGGATACAATATTGTGGGATTGTGGGGTACTGCTAGCACCTCCTATATCGAAATTTTACAAAGATTCCAGAATAAGGTACTTAGAACCATCGTCAACGCGCCGTGGTATGTGCCTAATTACGTAATTCAAAGTGATCTCAATATTGAATCGGTGCGGGAAGTTATAAAGAATTGTTCTGACAAATATCAAGACAGGCTTTCTGTGCATTCTAACATCCTAGCTACTCAGCTTATAGACAATCGCGATGAAATTAGGAGATTAAAACGTTTCAAACCTTCGGACCTGTCAAACAGGTTCGATAAATTATTTATGTACTGTACGTACTTTGATCAACATGAAAATTGGAATACTTACATAATCAAACAATATTATTTATAAGTAAGAGTTTTCAGTGGATTGCTCTCGGCATATCGTAGTTAATTTAGTGCGCTATTTATTACAACATTTACTTATTGTTCATCTGGAACAGATTGTAAATATGCAATAAAAATTAAAAAAATAAAATAAAATAAAAATAAAAAAATAGTAACCGGGACACTTTTAAGGAATCGACACCTTCATATAATCAAAATGTGTTAATATTTTTATCCAAAACCGCCCAATAACGAAGTCATTATACGTTCAATTTTAGTGGATAAAGTTACACATTATTGGAGAGGACAGCGACAGTTGGTATAAATCAGAAAAACATTTAAAAACCGTCCTACGGGGTATTAGGCTAGTATACATACAGCCAAAAGATCTAGTATAATTCCCTTAACAGTAGCTCAAAATCGCAAAAGTGGTTTCAGACGGAAAGAAGTACGTTAAAAAGTAACTTTGATTGTAATAATTTGCATTTTTCAAGGTGTCAAAGTTCAAAGATTTCAATGCTACGGTACCCATTGTTATCCATTTGAGCAGCATGGCAAAGTTCATATGATTAATCTATGCATCAGAATTTTAGGATAATTCAAAAGTATTGCGTGTTTTGGTAAAAATTACAAACCCACTAAATAATCGTGTCTGTAATAATTGTAGCCACACCTTCTTACAAAATTAATGGTGAGGGTCCGATCATCAATCCCAAATTTAAAAAGAAGATTTCATTAAACTTATTGAAGGTGCACGGAAAACATGAATGTTGTACTTGACCTAATAACATTATTCATGAATATTACATTTTTTTTCGTGTTATATTTAGGCGAATTAATAACAAAGGGTCATTGTAGATGTTGCTTCTCATTGAAAATTGACAAGTTTCCCACATAATGACTCTCGGTATGGGAATGGCTGCAACAACCTATTTCATTTTTCTTCTGGTACCGGTGTTAATTTTGTGGTACATATACTGGCGTATAAAGCACCAACATATGATAGACTTGGCCGAACAATTTCCAGGCCCCAAAGGTTACCCCCTTATCGGAAATGCTTTGCTAACTGTTGGATCGCCACACGGTAAGTTACTCATTAAACTCAGTAATAATAACTGCTTCATAATGTTTAGAAATGTTTAAAACTGCTTTGTACCTGGCATCTGAGTATCATAACATTGGTCGAGCTTGGTTGGGACCAAGACTCGTCATTGGCTTGGCGGATCCTAGAGATGTAGAAATAATACTAAGCAGTCACGAGCATATTGAAAAGGCAGTTGAGTATAAATTTTTTAAACCGTGGTTCGGAAATGGTCTTCTAATAAGTTCAGGTTAAAGATTGGGTTAATTCTAAATAGATTCACGTAAAGTAACACATTTTGCAATGCAGGCACGACGTGGAAGGCCCACAGGAAATTGATTGCGCCCACATTCCATTTGAACATTCTAAAAGGATTTATAGATCTCTTTAACGCAAATAGTCGAGAAGTCGTGAAAAAGTTACGCCAGGAGAATGGGAAAACTTTTGACTGTCACGACCATCTATCGGAGGCAACGGTAGAAATACTCTTAGGTAACTTTCAATTACACGGCCATTAACTACTTTATTTACCTATTTTGCAGAAACTGTAATGGGTGTAAGCAAAAAAACACAAGGTAAGAGTGGATACGACTACGCAATGGCCGTTATGAAGATGTGCGCAATTCTACACATCAGACAGGTCAAAATATGGTTGCGACCAGACTGGATATTTAAATTTACAACATATCAAGAAACACAAAAAAAATTACTTGCCATGATACATAGTCTCACCGAAAAGGTTTTTGAAAAAAAAAGAAAGGCATTTGAGGATGGTATTCGAGGTTCCCTCGCAAACGTGCCTGAAGATATTTTAAGAAAAGACGTGTCAGTCCCCGATGAAAATATTATTGAAAACCCATTGGATGGAACGATGATGTTTGGTCAGTCTGTAGGGATAAAAGACGATCTTGATGGTGATGTAAATGTAGGGGATAAGAAAAGATATCCGTTTTTAGAAACCTTAATAGAAGCAGCCAAGAGTGGCACACAACTTACTGAAGAAGAGGTCAAAAACCAAGTTAGCACAATTATGTTTGAGGGTCACGACACCACTGCCGCCGCTAGTAGCTTCTTTCTATGCCTGATGGGCGCTCATCCCGACGTCCAGGAAAAAGTACATCAAGAAATGTACGCTATTTTTGGTAACTCAGATCGACCGGTAACTTATTCGGATACACTAGAAATGAAATACCTAGAACGATGTTTACTCGAAACACTGCGATTGTACCCACCTGTTCCACTCATTGCGCGTAAGATAAACCAGGACGTAAAACTAGGCAAGATGACCAAGAGATGTTCAAATTAGTTTACGTTCTGTTTCAGCAAGTGGTAATTACACTGTACCGGCCGGATGCACTGTCATTATAGGCACTTATGTATTACACCGTAATCCTGACATCTATACTAATCCTGACGAGTTCAATCCCGACAACTTCCTTCCAGAAAGATGTATAAAGAGACCCTATTACGCGTTTATTCCATTTAGCGCCGGACCACGCGGCTGTGTTGGTAAGACAATTCCAAAGCTTGATTCGGTTATCCGTTCATTAGGCAATTTTTTAAAGCGTGAAACCCAGAGACTAGCTATAACTAGACTGCGCTTAACGTATCTAAGGTGTTGTCGACACAATATGCAACACACAATGCACCGCGGGGCAAAAATCGCTGAGATGATTTATGCAATATAATGAAATAAGCTGTTATTTTAGATGTTCCGTTCATTAATCATTCTCGTGATTAGCTCGAATTAATGAACAGATAAATTTCTGTTGAGAATAAACCATGTAGCCGATTTTAGAAAGGTACCTACGAAGGTGTTAAACAATAATGCAATACCGAGCGTTTTCGACTTTCCCATTCACTTAAAATAACGTAGAACTATTGTTCGACATCCTTTACCAGCAAGATAACGGCAATACCTATTTGCCTATTAGGTATAGACGTAACATAAGTACTTACTGGTACTAAGTATATTTCAGGATTTGTTACAAGAAAAATGGCTAAGTCTGTTAAATGTTCCATATGTGCAGATGCGATATTCGCATCAGAGAGTCATGCAAAGCTTTTAACTAGAAAAAATCGTGGAGGATTGTTGCACGTATCAAGCGATGCATTAAAAATTTGCCAAATTGCTGAAAATGTGTTCAGGTTTTTCATTCAATCCACACCATCAGCAGTCTAAGAAAAATAAATAACAGTTACAGCCCATTTGGGTTTTTGGATAGGCATTATATTGAATCAAAATCCGCTAAATAATCATATCTTACTACTTATATCTTTAGTTTTAAGAGTATATTTTCCCATACGTGTTCACCACCAAAATACACATATAAATCAAATTAGGACTAGAGTAAGGCAGTTATATACCAATTTAGTTCAAATAAAATACCAATAAATTCGATTAAAACAGTTAACAGCTATATGTTATCTTTTTTTGCTACTAAAATTTAGAATAAACATGGCTAAAGCAAGCTACAGAACGCACGTCTGCCCCGCGATGAACAGTTGGTTGCCTATCCTATCTTGACAACAGGCGTTTATAGTAAAATCTACGTTACGCGCGGTCTAGTTATAACAAATCTCTGGTGAAACCCTAAGATTACAATCATTATGTTTTCAGGTCGTAAATACGCCATCTTGAAGCTCAAAGTCCTCCTTGCCACAATAATGAGGAATTTTGTTGTTAAATCTGATGCTTCCGAATCTGAGTATAAATTGCAAGCTGACATAATATTAAAACGGCAGGAGGGTTTTAAAATTAGGTTGGAGCCAAAGCATCTAATAAGTTGAGCAAACTTGTTTAGAGTAGGTATTTCGACTATTATTTTTTAAATGTATCTTTCTTTATTGGCCCCAATTAAAACGCGCATGCAGCGTTTAGTAACGGTGGGAGTTCAATAATGTTGTAGTCGCCCCTAGTTGTTGTCTAGTTCTGGTTTGTCAATTTATACACACAATAAATGTCAGAAAGTGCTTGACAATTATTAAGGGAAAAGGAGAAAGGCCAACGTGTTTCATTCCTCCGGCACCCCTGATTACAGGGATACCGGAGGCGGGCTGCTCAGGGCTTCCTGGCCCTCTTCAGCCAGATAACGGGATTGTAAGGATGAGTAAAGTTCGGGATGGGAACGGAAGGAACGGAGTTAGGGTGCTGAGGGGGAGAGTACTGCTCCAGCATTTGCCTCGTAGATTTCAACATAATGCTAGCATTATGCGAAGCTACGTATGTCTGAGGAAAACCCCCTGACAAAACCCCAGACAGAGCAGTCGGCAGCGGAATTCGAACCCACAACCTCCCGAATAGCATCGGTGAGCGCGACTACTGCGCCACGTGCCTCGGTAACAATTATTAAGGATCCTCAGATCCTTTATAGTTTTGTATTGTCGTCCGTCCGTCCGTCCGTGTGCACTATAACTCATTTTAAAATGGCCGATTGTGTTGAAATTTTTTTTTTGGACATTAAGGACGATTGATTTTCAGGAAGCTGGTTCGACGGCAACAAAAGTTATAGGACTTCAAGAGAATTGGGAGCAGGAAAAACTGCAGACTCAATATAATAGAAATCAACAAATTTCATTCCCTAGGTTATGTATCGAGTTCGGACTTTCGCTAGATTATTCCCTATGACTCTTACGGCCAGTTGCACAAAAAAAATAAGGATTATTGTTTAATCCGGTATTAAAACATTTGATTGGCTTTATATTGAAGTAGGCAGCCAATCAAAACCGCGTGTGTGTGATTCCAATATGTAAATTCTTTGTCTGAGGCCACATGAATTTTGATCAAAACATGTCAAAATCGTTATTCTTGCACAGAGATTGTTGGGAAAAAGACAAAGGTTGCCCAATATGTACATTTTGAAGTAGTGTGTGCAGCAGAAGTGAGAAGAATTACTTGAAATCTTCAACTTCATCATCTAAAGTCTAAACGACGAAAGTTGGAGCCAGTAGCTTATTGATACTCAGTGATTTGCTTTAAATAGGTATTAAACTTTATTTTTAAGAGACTTTATTAACACTTTGAAAAATTGATTGATTCAAAATTAATTATCAGTTAATCTTAATAAACTATAGTAACTCACAAACAAAACTAAACATTCGCCATGGTAAACTGTTTAAATGTTTGAATGCTTTCATATTCAACATAGCTCGAGTAGAAATTGGCAAACAATAAAATAGAAGAAGCTAATAGTCCAGGAGGCAGCGACATTTTTTGTGCACTCATTTCCTCAAAGCTGATATTCTGCCATTTTATTGTTTTGATAGTACAAGTAAACAAAACGGTAGTCTACCACGTCGGCGGTGTTGCCTAAGTTTGCAACAATGTTCTGAACATGTTAATAAATAATATGTAGGTACATTGTACATGCCTCATTTCTACAAGAATGAAAGTTTGTACAGTAATTAAAAATACCTAAAAATGAAGTATGGTAATAGTCTACCGAGCTGGAAGCGTTGCTATCACAAGTCTACCACCCACGCAAGATGCATAAAAAATTATTCGATTGAACTTATTTCTACAAAGATGAAATTTTTGTTGGAAAAAGTTGATGTCATAAGAAACCAAAAAAAAATGGTCTACCGATCGCGTGATGTTGCTAAGGTCTCGGTAGACACGTTGGAAGGTACGATTTTCCGAGCGCAGCTGCTGCACTACTCTGTTAAAAGTACCTCTAAATTATTATATACACGGACATAAAATAAAAATATTTCAAAAACGAACATAGGCAATTAACAGGGTGTAATGTTCCTAGGGGGTCTATCAAGCCGACACGGAAAACGTTGACTTACCCTATACTTACGGTTGGCAACTCTGGCAAAAACTACAAGCAGAGCCACCTACCTTTCAAGTCGAAACGATGGTAGTCTCGCGGTACTTTTGAATTTGGATGACAGTCGGCTCGATATGGGTGGCACGAATGGACTCCTACGTTGTGTAATCGGTTCTTTTATGTGTTGGGACGTGAGACATAATCGGGAAGGGAATTAAATAAAAGACAGAACTTTTGTGCGTAAGAAATGACAAGATCAAATAAATATATTAACGTACACACAAGACCATGCCAGGGAAACCTTCTACGGGACTAAAACCCTGGCACAGGCCACACAAATACATGAAATAAATCACCTACAGCAATAAAATGCAAGAGAAAATACACATAAATAAAACATCTCAAATTGTATGATAAAAATCAGATAATCAAATCAAATGCAATTAAACAAGTTCATAAAATCAAAATACACAAGACATCATAAATGCAGTGGAAAACATGATAAATCAATTCAGTACAAAACACATCAAAATACCTGTACGATCAATAGAGATAACACAACTCGTCAAAAAACAAATAAACTGCATGTACATAGGAAACATGTAAATGGTGTGGCTCTACTCCAGCCTTCTGTTAACATAATTTAATTTACCACGAAAAGTACATGTGAGAATGCCATTGGCCAATAGCAAGTATTCATGTGAAAATCGATTATCGCTGAAACAGAACATATTTTAAATAGAGGAAATGTAAATGAGAGGGCCCCCACTCGTATTGCTAAGATGTTAAGAACTACAATCCGCACGAGACGAGTAGGCAACAGATACAGCGAAAGATCTAATTGCATTAGGTACCTACTCCACGGAGACAGAAATACCCACTCGCACACACAAACATCGAAACATCAAATAAAAGAGCCCCCCTTCGTATAGCTAACGCACAAGAACTGTAGCGAGCCACGAAACAGAAAGTAACAGATACAGCGAACAATCAAACTGTATTAGGTGCTTCCCTCACGGAATTGTTACGGGTCAATCGAACAGAGCAACATCACACCAATAATCAACTCCTCATGAATAACAGAAATAAATACTTAATTAAACAAAATAATGGCATAATCATCTGTACAGTATTACAAACAGGATTAATCTAACGGTACACGAAACAAAGGCATGGAGTACGCCATGATTCAGATATCATAGTTTATGCAAAATCAGCAAAATGTAAATAATATCAAATTGAGGCAAGAAATTCAATGATTAAATATCTAGTACAAGAAAGAATAAAATGGTTACTACCTGTAAATACACCTTCAAAACACCATCACCAAAAATAATCAAGAATAATAAAAAACCCGGGAAAGCGTGTGTCTTCCGTCGGCCTCGTCGCCATCTTCCTCCCAGTCTCCTCGCTTCGTTACGAAAATCCCCTAGTATTCGGCATCTGCGCAAAACGGTCGTTGGTTATATACAGAGCATATTATATTTTGGTTTCGAATGTAAATGTGTGTTGCCTAACCATCAGGGTGGGTTATCACAAGGGGAAAAAGGTTTTTTGCAGATCGTTGCTCCTCATGATAAGTTAGGTCTTTGCGGGTTTATAATGACACCAATCGAAAGAAGATTTTTTTTCTTTATCTAATGATATACGAATTAATTCATTTTCAGTTGTATTTCTCATTATTAACGATCCTCGAGATTGTTTATAATTTTGTATTGTATCTGTCTCTCCGTCTGTCTGTTCGTCTGGCCGTGTGCACGATAACTCATAACTGAATAATATCATTGACATTCGCTATTTTGTGTCAAAATTTAATGCTACTGTTAATAGAAAATCGTGAACAAAAGTACCAGTTTCCATACGATTTTTTGATAAGAAAAGCCCGGTAATTTGATAATTATGCAAAAAATTTAATTGACTAACCTGTTGAGAAGTGAGATAACTGAATAACTTTTTATAGAAAAGTTCGATCGCTTTTAATTGAAACAGCTGTTCTTAAGGATTTAAGAAAGGTCGCTATTGTTTTTCAGCTACGTAGACTATCGGGCCAAAAAATTACAGCCCAAAAACTGCTCAAAAAAGGGCTTCTTTTATAATTCTTGTTACAAAGAACATGTGGATTCCCGATTTTATGTGTTAGTAAATGTCCCTTAAGCCCCAGGTAACTATGCAAATGAATAAAAAAAATTGCCCATCCATGCGCAGCCAACTTTTGTGTTTGCGCAATCCCAATTTTCTTTATTTGTTAAGATATTTAATTGAAATGTAATATGTAGGCACCTCGAGTAAAAGTAAAACTAACGCCGAATTAAAAAAATTGTTTTGCGCATGCGCACCTTGTTTTTAAAATTACACAGGAAATGGCCCTTCTACCTCATACTGCAATCAAACGTTCATAGAAACGAGAAATATTCCACCCCATTCAAACATTTTTGCGAAAACTCCAATTCAACCACAAATTCAACTTTATGTACAGAAATTTTGAAAATACCATCACCACAAAAATTACCTAGAGATAATATTACATAGATACAAGTTGAAAACATAAATACGAAAAAGTTCAAATTCGTAGACTGAAAACTAAAACATCTCACTTCTCAACAGGTTAGTCAATTAAATTTTTTGCATAATTATCAAATTACCGGGCTTTTCTTATCAAAAAATCGTATGGAAACTGGTACTTTTGTTCACGATTTTCTATGAACAGTAGCATTAAATTTTGACACAAAATAGCGAATGTCAATGATATTATTCAGTTATGAGTTATCGTGCACACGGCCAGACGAACAGACATACGGAGAGACAGACAGCAATACAAAATTATAAACAATCTCGAGGATCGTTAATAATGAGAAATACAACTGAAAATGAACTAATTCGTATATCATTAGATAAAGAAAGAAAATCTTCTTTCGATTGGTGTCATTATAAACACGCAAAGACCTAAATTATCATGGGGGAGCAACGATCTGCAAAAAAACTTTTTCCTATGTTAATTGCCTATGTTCGTTTTTGAAATATTTTTACTTTATGCCCGTGTATATAATAATTTTGAGGTATTTTTAGCAGAGTAGTGCAGCAGCTGCGCTCAGAAAATCGTACCCTCCAGCGTGTCTACCGAGACCTTAGCAACATCACGCGATCGGTAGACCAATTTTTTTTGGTTTCTTATGACATCAACTTCTTCCAACTGTGATAATC